GTATGTATGTACGTATGTATGTATTAATATACTTAGGTAGGTATGTATGTCTGTGTTCGTGTCTGTCTGTATGTACGTATGTACAGAGGTATGTAGGCATGTAGGTATATGTAGGTATGTAGGTATATGTAGGTATATGTAGGTATATGCAGGTAAAGGTAGGTAAAGGTACTTAAGGGTATGTATATGTATATACGTATGTATATATGTATGTATGCATGCATGCATGCATGTGTATGTGTATGTAAGTAGGTAGGTAGATAGGCAGGCAGGTGCCTACGTACACACGTGCATGTGTGTGTGTGTGTGCGTGCGTCTTTAAACCCCGCGCTAGTGGTGTCGTTGCAATAGTTTTTATTCATGTCTGATTGATACTACTATTTCTGTTTTTCAGTACATTTATTGTTATCAACATCATTACCATTCTTAAAAAAGGGTCCCATCCCATCCTTACTATTGCGTGGGCTTTTGTCACTATCCTTGTCGTGATCATGAATCATTGTCGTTATCATGAGCAGCATCATGGTTGTGAAAAAACGAGTTCATTTCTGCGACCATGCTTATGATTTTGATGATGATGATTGTTGCAACTGCTGCTCTTACTCAGCCGTCGGTGCGGGTCGTTCCAGCCTGTTCGATGTTCCTCCCTGAACCCCAAACACCAAACCCTGAACCCTGAACCCTCAACCCTAAACCCCAAACCCTGAACCCTGAACCCCAAACCCTAAACTCTGAACCCTTCGCAGGCAGGCCGGCCACTCGATTCGGATGGATCTTTCCCCCAGCGGACTCGTGGCCTGGCAGAGAATTCGCTCTCTAAACTACCAGTAACTACTCTAATCTTGTTCTTTGTTGCTCATTAGCAACCCAAATACAGAAGCTATAGGAAACCTACCAAAAAGCACGTACGGAGGTTTGCAGCAACTTCCTTTGCCACTGTGAATCGGCGGAAGGTACCGAAACTAAGTGTCCCTCGCTGGATACCCGACATGAGGCAGTTCTTACAACAAGGACCTACATGGACCGGGACCCTGTTGTTTAGAAAGTCGCGTAATGTCTCTATATGTATGCATGGCTGCACGTCGGAACATATATGCGTATGCATGTTTGTGTGTGTATGTATATGCATATATATATACACACACATCTATTCTTATACTTTGAATGCGTGTGCATGCGCTTTCGCATGTCGTGTGTGTGCCTACATACATGCATGCATACGCACATAGATGCTGTATATATAGATGCACACACACACGCATAAATAAATATATATATATATACACACACACACATACACATCTAAATAAACGTGAGTATGTATCTGTATATATATATATATAGAGATGTGTATACGCACAAATATTCAGACATGCACATGTCTACACATATCTAAACAATCCTGCATGCATGGATGGACGTGTGTACGTATGTGCGTATGTGTGTATGTATGTATGTATGTATGTATGTATGTCTGTATGTATGTATGTATGTATGTATGTATGTATGTATGTTGATAAGTAAATCAGTAAGTATATAACCACATATGCATATATGTACATGTATACGCACAGGTACATGTAAGGTTCATGTACATGTATATGAAAATTTCTGTAAATCCATATAGAGAAGGTCACGGTGGCCCCGGGGCGAATCGAGCCGCTGCTGAGTCTGGAGGCACTGGCAAAGGGCATTCTGGGTCCCAGGGAGACAACCGAAGAGTTCACTTTGGACTCCTAGTGCATATATATATATATACATATATGTATATATATGTATATAGATATAGACATAGACATAGATATAGATATAGATATAGATAGAGATAGAGATGGAGATAGAGATAGAGGGTGAGAGAGAGAGTGAGAGAGAGAGATATATATATATACATAGA